TTTCTGTGGATTCAGCTAAGCCCCAGTTAGCTAAAAACATTTATAAGTAGTTTTTTGTAGGTTACCTATGCAGTGTAGATGTTGAATTTCTTGGGTAAGCATAGAGTCTGCAGCCAAAAGAATAACATGAGAATCAATATGTTGCAAGGGATCTGCTTGACAATTGGGCAGTAGAGAAAATTCATACACGTTATAGCGTTCCTTTAAGAGTTGTTCAACTTGTGTTAAAGATTGTGTTTCAACGGTACTGTGAATAAAAGGGAAAAATATTTTCTCTTTTAATAGATATAAGCCGCCTTGTCTACCTTTTTGATGAATAAAAACATAGGGAGACAAGCTGTTGTTGTTGAGATGTGTAAAGTAGGAAGAAAAAAATATTCCTATTGTATCGGTTTTCTTTAGAATGGTAATTCTCACATTTAAGGTTACACATATATAATTTAGGAGTTTGTGAATAGTCCACTTAGTGTGGTAATAGCGTCCGCTATTTTTAATGGGTGTATAATTGATGAGGTTATTTAACCAAGGTTCATATTGTTCGTGGTGCGTTTTTTTTTGATATAGAAAAAAGCATAGACTATCAATGAGATGTTACTCATAAAATTTAAGAATGGGTGGTGAGGCTAGTTTTTGAAAACTAGTGGTGTTCAAATTCACTTTCATGCTTTTTTCTTTAAAATATAGCGGGTATATTTTAAAACTCGTTTATAAGTAGGATGTTGGTAAAAGATCTGAAATTAGAAAAGAAATTAAACATAAGAAAATTAACCAAAGAATAAGAGCTTACCATGTGCTGAAAAAGTTGCAAGGCAGAGGGCGCATCCGGGCGATGAAGAAGTTGCTCCTTATAGATGGAATATTGGGCTTCTTGAATATCAAAATGCTTTAATATATCCTGGGCAAAGAGGAGACCATTAGTATGCAACCAGGACACTTGTTTGATAATTTGTAAATTGGCAAAACAAGGTTCAATAGGAGCATGAAAAAAATCGACATCTTAATTCGTAGGTTTTCAATGTAAAGACTGTGGTATCCTCGAGTTGGAGTTTTTTCCAAGAGGATCCTGTAAAACCATTTCTCGGATAGAGAGAAAAAGAAACTTGATCCGATTGATAGTTGTGATGAGTCAAGCAAACACTCAAACGACTGAACAAATACTAATTATTGGGGTAGCCTTTAAAAGTTGTTGGCTTATACTTTAGCACATCAGTGGTTAAAAAAACATCAATGTCTTGAAAGTGTTGAGTGACTCCAGCGGCATAACTGGCTGCAGATCCGGCTACACAGATTGCTAGATTTAATGACCAAAAATGCTGCAAAAGTTGCACAATATAGGCGGGTAAATGTTGTTGCAAGAAAAGCATGGGTTGAATGACCAGTCCTTTATACAGTTCATATTGATTGGCTAGCAGAGTAGTTAGAATTTGAGCATTATCCATTTATCTGAAAAAATTATAGGCTATAGAGTTGCATGTGTCGACAGCCGCAACAAGTACAGTTAAACACAAATTGATCTATTTTACTTAGTAACAGGCCATAGGTGGTTTCGATAACAGGATCAAAAACATTATTAAAGTTTTGAGCGAAATTGACATCGGTGAACCAAATCGGATTACAGGTAAAATAAACTCTGGCTAGAGATTTGGGAGGCGGTAAAAAGAAATCAAAAGGTGAAAAGGGGAAATGTTTAAAATTAAAATGATTTAAACTAGAGGTTAAAAAATGATAAAATTCTGGAGTTTGTATAATATATTCCAGTGGTCCATTCACAACTTGGGACAAGGCAATAGCATCTTGAACAGGATTGGTCGAATGTTGTAATATATTTTGAAGGATCTCGGGGGGGAGACTTAAGGAAAATTCAGGTGTCTCAATGGGCTTTAAGGTAAAATAATATAGATCTTGACAGCAATTGAGCAAGTAAAGTTGAATTTTATCATGAAACCAGGGTAGAACCGCTTCTTGTAAACAGTTGGTAGAGAACCGGTTGGTATGGCGCCATCTTCTATAAAAGGAGAAATGTTAATAGGGCTAATGACTTGGGAAAATGTATTTTACCTGCTAGCATCCAAAGGTTTTACCGGTTCCTCAGCACCTATGTTATAGCAACATGAACATTAAGAAGCCCAGGTATTTTAGAAGGCCATTTCAGAAATGTCGTCCTATTTTCTAGCTATAAAGATCTATTGACGATTCCCCCCAAATTGTGTATAATAAGAAATACTATACAAGATAACAACTTGTTAGATAATACTATTAGTTTTTAGACTTTCCTTTAATAAGAGAATTCATTAAAATTTGTTACGGCATACTTCTAACTTAGTTAGATGCCTGTTACATCTGCAACCAATGTTTTCAAAGATAATTATCCCTTTTATACCTAATTGCTTTAACATCCTAAACAATGGCAGCTGTAGTACATTTGAATTTCCGAGCCAGGTCAACCTTTCCAGTCCCGGTTTGTACTGTACCTAGCTCTATGAACAGGACAAGCCGGTGCGACAAGGTTGACGCGGTCAGGCTTTATGCTTCATATAGGTTCAATTTACTTTTACTAAAGGGGTAGAGGTGCCTGTAAAGGACCAAGCTCAGAGGACCAATGTGACCCAGCAACTGTTTTACCAAGCTTTAGTATTTTTTTCTCCAAATTACAAAGGCTTTAAATTTTAGATCTATAAAGGAACAAAATTGATATAACTTTTATTTTATAGAGTAAATTGGCTTCGAACTTCTGAGCACAATACTCGGGGTCAAATTGACCCCACAATGTGACGGCAAAATACCGATAAAAATGTTCAGTTTCACAAGAAATTTTCACACATTTTATCATTGTTAATGAGCATACAGCATAGAGAAACTATTAAATATATTAATCAGCAAATATATCCATTAGATTTACATATGATGATATGTATACACCTTTCTATTTTATATATCATTTACATATATCATACTGTCTATGTGTCTATCTTTCTATCTATCAAGTATCTGTCTGTTTGTCTATTATATCTCTATCAGGGTGTCTGTATATCTATCAGTCTATATATTTATTTATCTGTCTATCTATCTATATGTCTATCAGTGCCCCCCCCCCCATCTCTAAATTCTGTTAATGCCCCTAATCAAATGTGAAGAAAATGGCACTAACTATAAGACTAAAAGGTAGAAAAATTTTAAAATTTATAAATTCCAAGATAAATATATTGTTCTCTAGTTTATTATTCATCTATCTTTCTTCTGAACTTATCTTCTTTTATCTTTAATCAATCTTTTAAGTTTTATTAATATTCCCTGTTTGTAATACTTTAAACAACTAGACACTCCTGTATGCCGAGTCCATAAGCGTCTGATCCAATCAGGGTTCAGTCATGTGTTTGTTGTCTATTCTGAACCAATAGAAATAGATGGCGGTAATATCCATCTGTCTATCTATCTCATTATCAAATAAGAGATATGAATCCTTATATCGGTGCAATCAGTAAATGGAAATATTTACTTCTACTGAAACTATAGTGCATGTAGATGGAGTCCCCTGCGTTGCCCAGGCTACTCATAATAACTTCCGCTGTTTACCCGCACTTGGTCTTAAATATGATTTTAGAGAACCTATAAATGATCAAGCAAAGAGCGTATATAAAGATTATGGAATATTTGCTAGAAAGCATATGTCAGTAGATACCTGTAGACTGTAGATATTTAAACACTTCAGGTTCAAAGCTTTGCTTGTTTTTTTATTCTTTTCTTTTTAATAATTCTTGTAACTCTTTGTATTCAAGTTGGTTGTTTACGATAAGTTCTAAGGGTAAAGGTCAATTTGGCCCTTTTATTGAAAAACGTAATTTAAAAAAAATGTATTTAAAAAAAACATCTTTTTAAAGATATAGTTGTGCTAAAATTTCAGGGGAGTCGTCGGAAATTTATTTTGAGTTAGAAGGTAAAAACAAAAACCTGGTATAATTTGGCCCCATATTGTTGGTTCATTGAGGGTTAAAGACCTAAATCTCAAAGCACCAAAATCGTCTCTCAATCTTTGAAACCTGATTGTTATTTTAAACTTTGAGTAGAATTCATGGTTTAAAATATCAAAGGTTTCCAACATCAAGTTATAGAGATTACTCTGAAATACAGTAATATTCAGTAAACAATAGAACAGGAAGGCGACATTATTTCAATACTTTAGTTGTTGTCTCAAAGCAAATAGTTTTACTAAAATCACTAATTTATATATATATACTTTTCTTGTCTGTTTGTTTGTGTCCAATAAACGTCAAAACGGCTGAACCGATCGAGCCCAAATTTTGTATGGGGCTTCACATGTCCCTCGAGCAGGTTTCTAGATGATCAAAATTTAAAATTTGCCTCCAACAAAACTCAATTTTTATTAAATATTGTAAATCCACAAAAATAATTGTATAAACCCGCAAAATTTTTTTCGTTTTTTTTAACAATGTTTACAAAGAGAACATGTTTACAATTGAAATAGAAGATGGGCGCGAAGCGCCCTAAAAGCCTAGTTTAGTAAATTTGGCCTGCTTACAGTTCACAATTGCTGTGTCTCATGCTCATTGGAGTTTGGACTTATTAAAGTTATAACTTGATTCTTAAAGTCACCTTCCTACTATTGGCTTTCACTGTAAGTAATAACCAAATAGTTTATCAAGTACAATAGGTTGCGACGGAGAAATGGACCATTATACACGACGTCACAAGTGTCAAATATAACAAGGAAAACGAAATTTTCTCACATTAGTTGACATGTTTTGCAAGATGAAATAAAAAAGTGTTAAAACAGAAAATAAAGATCACATAAAATTGCACTTATTTTACTGTAATATAAGCACTTTATTCTAAAATTATCACTCCTATTAATAATTATGTCGGACAAAAAAAATAAGTTGACACTTGTAACTTAAGAATACAGCTGTACTGAGAGTGTACAAATTCTGCGTTGCCATCTGTTGTACTACAATCTATTTGGTAATAACAAAGATAATTTCTAGAACTCTGAGAAGATGTCTGTTTACCTGTTCGCCTTGGCAATCACTGATTTTGTGAGCACAAATATTACCCAGGTAAGATTAGAAAAAAAACATCTTTTTATAATTTTTATTAAATCACAAACAATTTTTAAATATATTTTTTTTTTGCTTTTGGACAAGTTTTTATTTCACTTTTAAACTGTGATTTCAAGTGTAGAACGGTATGTCCAATATACAGCAGTTCCCTTTAAAGCCTTGTATGCATCAAGTATGAATTATGTGAACATGTGCTTACAATTCACAATTTAGAAACATTACTATTTTTAATTGTTGTTTCTATACAATAGTGACTTGCGGATTTTTGCTACAGAAACAATGGAGGAAGTTGTCATAACTAAACTTGTTAAAGCTAAAATAACGACTTATCTTACACATTACTAATCAGATTAAGGTTTTAAAGGTATCGTTGTGCATCGGACATCGCCATCTTTGCATGGAGAGTCACTTGAATTTACAATGACAGTCCCTTTAACATCTTATAGAAATCAACTTTTTAAAACAATTAAAGGGACTGCACGCGTAATAAAGATGGCAATGCCCGATTGAAATATTAATCTGATCAAAAATGTTGAAGATAACGTTGTTTTATTTCTGTGTGTTGCTTCATTGCTTCTTTTAAGCAAAAAATGCGCAAGTCACTTTCGCAAAGAAACCGCAAAAAATAGACAGTTGAAAGAAACACATATATAGATATCTCATCCAAACTTGACCATTCAAAGCTTTCAAGGGTACGTATGTAAATCAAACATTGTCATCTTTAAAATTGAGGGTTACTTGAATTTAGGCTTACAGTCCCTTTAATATGAAAAAAATGTTTAGGATGTTGCTGTCTGGAGTTCATTAGAGGATAAACTGGAAGGAAGAGCTGATTATTCAGCAGATATAGGTCCTAGGTAATGTTTAGTCTGGAGTTCATTAGATGATAAACTGGAAGGGAGGGGGCTGATTATTCAGCAGATATTGGTCCTAGATAATGTTTATTAGTCTGGAGTTCAATAGATGGTATACTGGAAGGAAGGGCTGATTATTCAGCAGATATTGGTCCTAGGTAATGTTTAGTCTAGAGTTCATTAAATGATAAACTGGAAGGAAGGGCTGATTATTCAGCAGATATAGGTCCTAGGTAATGTTTAGTCTGGAGTTCATTAGATGATAAATTGGAAGGAAGGGCTGATTATTCAGCAAATCTTGGTCCTAGGTAATGTTTAGTCTAGAGTTCATTAGGTGATAAACTGGAAGGATGGGCTGATTATTCAGTAGATATTGGTCCTAGGTAATATTTAGTCTAGAGTTCATTAGATGATAAACTGGAAGGAAGGGCTGATTATTCAGCAGATATTGGTCCTAGGTAATGTTTAGTCTAGAGTTCATTGGTGATAAACTGGAAGGAAGGGCTGATTATTCATTAGATATAGGTCCTAGGTAATATTATGTCTGGGGTTCATTAGATGATAAACTGGAAGGGAGGGCTGACTATTCAGCAGATATTGGTCCTAGGTAATGTTTAGTCTGGAGTTCTTTAGATGGTAAACTGGACAGGAAGGGCTGAATATTCAGCAGATATTGGTCCTAGGTTATGTTTAGTCTGGAGTTCATTAGATGGTAAACTGGCAGGAAGGACTGATTATTCAGCAGATATAGGTCCTAGGTCATGTCTAGTCTGGTGTTCATTAGATGGTAAACTGGCAGGAAGGACTGATTATTCAGCAGATATAGGTCCTAGGTAATGTCTAGTCTGGTGTTCATTAGATGGTAAACTGGAAGGAAGGGCTGATTATTCAGCAGATATTGGTCCTAGGTAATGTTTAGTCTCGAGTTCATTAGATGATAAACTAGAAGGAAGGACTGATTATTCAGCAGATATAGGTCCTATGTAATGTCTAGTCTAGAGCTCATTAGTTGATAAACTGGAAGGGAGGGCTGATTATTCAGCAGATATTGGTCCTAGGTAATGTCTAGTCTAGAGTTCATTAGATGATAAACTGGAAGGAAGGGCTGATTATTCAGCAGATATTGGTCCTAGGTAATGTTTAGTCTGGAGTTCATTAGATGATAAACTGGAAGGAAAGGCTGATTATTCAGCAGATATTGGTCCTAGGTACTGTCTAGTCTGGAGTTCATTAGATGATAAACTGGAAGGAAGGACTGATTATTCAGGAGATATTGGTCCTAGGTAATGTTTAGTCTAGAGTTCATTAGATGATAAACTGGAAGGGAGGGCTGATTATTCAGGAGATATTGGTCCTAGGTAATGTCTAGTCTGGAGTTCATTAGATGATAAACTGGAAGGAAGGGCTGATTATTCAGCAAATATTGGTCCTAGGTAATGTTTAGCCTGGAGTTCATTAGATGATAAACTAGAAGGAAGGGCTGATTATTCAGCAGATATTGGTCCTAGGAAATGTCTAGTATTAGTCTTGATTCTTGACATCAATGAACAAATAAATGACTAAATTAAAAATTCATTTCAGATTTGATTTTTTTTAAGTATGTGTAAATACTTGCATAGCTTAATGCCAATTATAAGTTGTATAAATGTCGTATTTTTGAAAGCTTTTTTTCAGGGTTCTTGATTTCTATGGTGAATATTTCGGTGTTGAATACTCTCTACCAAAGATGGACTTAGTTGTTGAAGAACAGGAACAGTCCCTTTCTTTTAAAACAATAACCTTTTATATAAATTACTTAAGACCTTGACCTTTCACGGACGTTTTACGAAATTTACTTCACTTAACTTTTTTGTTAGGGCTGGGTGCTACTGGGTGCTGGGGTGCTACTAGGTGCTACTGGGTGCTACTGGGTTACTGGGTTACCCACAAAGAGTTAGACTTTAGCTACGAGTGTTGATTCTTGCTTTTTCTTAATCTTGAGACTAATCTAATCTTGTGTTTATATCCTGTAAGGTTTATAAAATTTAACCAATCAGTGTGGTGTATCAGAAGCTGGGAAATTTGAAATTTTACCATTTTACCCGCCATTTAATGAGAGTTCACTCATATAATTAAGATTAATGTACAGAGACGGGATTGGACTCTATAATTTGTAAGTTTTCAAACTTTAGTTTAATTTATGATTCCTTTAATTTTCTCTGTGAAAGGACATATCTATAGAAAGATCTGGTTGCCATGGAGAATTGGGGATTAAATTTATATGATCCATCAGCCTTACTTGTTCATCCAGATCAAGGAAAATTGGGCTTTTCAAATTTTTAGATTTTTTGACCAAATAATATAAAAATTTGATTGATCTAAAAATGTATTTCATTGAACCGTTTTTAACATATTCTAAAGGTATTGGATCTTTGCATTGATCTTTCATCGAAATACAATTTAAATTTAAAGGGACTGTCTAGAAATTTTGATTTTTAATTTATGAAATTAAAGGGACAATACTAGAAATTTGGAGCAATGGAGAACTGGGGTCTTGTACTGTTCGACCCAAGAACTATTCTTGTGGACCCAAGCGAAGGAAAATTTTCAAAAAAAAATAGATATATTATTTTTGGACAACTTTTTTGAAGTTTAACAAACATTGTGCTTGAAACAAAATATTATGAAAATCTTAATTTTACAGTGAAGCCTGGACTTTCGGAAGAAAGGTAAAATACAAAATAAAATAAAAAATGTTTGTTGAGCAAAATAACTTAAACAACTAAATTTTAACTGACAGATTTTAAAAATATTTTATTTTGATTTCACCGCAAACATTGGTTGGTTTTGTGTACACTGTTATAGGAAAATACATATATATGTACGTTATAGCTGGATAAAACTAGCTGACTTTTTTTAGGGAACTCCCCAGAGGGACAGTTAGGCTAAAAAAACATATTTTTTGTTGCAGTGTCACAAATATAAAATCCAAATGACGGTAAATGGTGGGATTAATTATGACTATAGATACACGATACACCATAATAAACTCTGGGTTCTCAAGTTAGTATATTACATACTAGCTGAAGTCCCCGGGTGTTGCCCAGTTTACTCCGGTCGTTTACCCGAGCTTGGTCTTGAATTATGATCTTAGCATAAGTGCCCGACATGCTCGTGAAATTCAAAAAGAATAATTTCTAATTATGTCATTGTAACCCCCGGGGTACCCATGGGTTCTCTCAAAAAGTTTCAGCCTAGTTGTTTAACCGTTTGGCCAGTTTTAATGAACATATAAATGGGCAAGGAACTTTTTTATTCATACATTAGAATGATAAAACATAAAATTTATGTTTTTTATTTTGTGAACTATTTAAGATGGTTGGTTTCTTCTGTAGTTGCTCATGAGCTGGCTCATCAATGGTTTGGAAATCTAGGAAAATAAAAGTTAGATATTTAGAAACAAAAAGTAAAAGATTTAGAATCAAATGTCAGACATTTTTAAGCAAAAGTCAGACATTTAAAAAAAATCATACATTTAGAACAAAAGTCAAACATTTGGAAACAAGATTCAGACATTAAGAAACAAATGTCAGACATTTAGAAAAAAAAGTCAGACATTTTAAAAACAAATGTTGACATTGTTGTAAATAACAAAATTTTGACATTTTAAACAAAACATTGACATGTAAACAAAACTTTGACATTTTAAATAGAATTTTGACATAATACAAATAAAAAACATGTTTAATTTCATTAAAACAATTATCAATTATTATTCTAATTTTCAGAAAGAATCTAATTACTAGCCTCAAAATTTAATTTCTAATCCCTATAACTTAGATATTTCAAAGTATAAATTCTATTACATCAAATAATATAAGTGTAAAATATCAATTTATATTTGTAGGTGGCAAAGATATAGGGATAAGAAAATTTGAGTTTGTGGCAAAGACTCAATTCCTTTTTAGGTTTAAAGACGGGTATTAGAAAACGTCTATAAATGCTATTAAATGTATCAAAATGAGAACCAATATTAAGTACAATGAATAAACTAAAAATATGATTAAACTTTTGTTTGATATTAGTAACTCTTGATTGGTGGGAACAAATGTGGTTAAATGAAGGTAAAACAAAAAAACTTTTTTTTTATAAAATTTTTCTTCTTTTTTTCCTTTTTTTAGGAAATATTTAAGATACAACAAAACATCATCTTATTAAACAAAATATAATTTAAAACTTTTTTTTTAATAAAAATTTCTTCTTTTTTTTTATCTTTTTTAGGAAATATTTAAGATACAACAAAATTTTAACAATTAAATTAAATGATTCCAAGGGAAGATTGCAGTCCAGATTTCAGGATAAGTGTACAAAAATCAACGAGAGTCTTCATTAATAATTAAAAATAATAAAAACATTGTTCCAGGGGCAACAAATTAAATTAAAGTGCAGGGGTGTTAAAAGCATTAAGTATTTTTATTATTTGGTTAATTTTCTCCTTTGTTAGTTACGTTTCCTTTCTCTACAAGCTATCTCACTGTTATTTAAAGGTTGTAAGCTCTCTCACAAAACCAATGAGAGTTTAGCTAATTATTAATTAAGATTTAAAACCAAAAGCTAGAAACTAAAGCTTTAATGTTTAATAATGTAAAGGTCTAGAGGTACAAACAAAGTGAGTTAGAGCCTAAGGCTTTCCGACACTTCAAAATCGACTACAGGGGGGGGGGCGTTGTTTAGGGTCCAGTGGAACAATCTTTATTTCAGGGTTTGCAACGTATGTTTCCTACCTTGCAGCTGAGGATATTGATCCTGATAATCTACCCTGGGGTCGTCTTCTTGTAGAGGAAACATTCAGGGTAAGTATTTAAATATTCAATATTTTAAAGGATGTTTTAATTTAAGTTTTAATTTAATTTAAGTTTTAATCCCGATGGCTTGATCTGAATATCCAATGTGAACACTTTTGACATCCTATGTAATCTGTTATTCTTCACGTTTTCTCTCTCTGCCACTTTCCAGTCAATGAGAGTTTAAATTGCGTGCAACAATTTCAAATTTCCCGGCATCTTTGATTGGCCTTCCTCTAAACGCCACTGGATTTGTGTGCTTGTATACACTTTTGTGGATGAAACTTATAATTAAATTAATTATAAATTAATATTGATCTTGATATCCACTATTCTAAATTTTTAAGCTTACTTCTTTAACAGGGGCACTTTCAAAGATTGATACTGAAATGAAAACCTGAACATTTTCAGAAATCATAGGTTCAAAGTCATTTGATTATTCCTAATAAGAAAATAAATATGTGATAAAAGAAAAATAGCTGTACTAAGCCATACATTTCAGAACTTTAATTAAGAAACTGAAATATAAAGATGTAATGTGTTTAATTATACACTAATTTTGCATGCAGAAAATTAATTTGGGTGGTTATCCATAGATGAGATGCACAATTAGGATTATTATTTTTCTAGCTTATAATTCTGAATCGTCTAGTTTATAATTAATATTTTTCTATTTATAATTCTGAATCTTCTAGTTTATAATTCTGATTCTTCTAGTTTATAATTCTGATGTTTATAGTTAATAATTCTGATTCTTCTAGTTTATAATTCTGATGTTTATAGTTAATAATTCTGATTCTTCTAGGTTATAATTCTGATACTTATAGTTTATAATTCTGATTCTTCTAGTTTATAATTCTGATTCTTATAGTTTGTAATTCTGATTCTTATAGTTTGAAATTCTGATTCTTCTAGGTAAAAATTCTGGTTCTTTTAGTTTATAATTCTGATTCTACTAGTTTATAATTCTGGTTCTTTTAGTTTATAATTCTCATTCTTCTAGATTATAATTCTGATTCTCCTAGGATATAATTCTGATTCTTCTAGTTTATATAATTTTCATACTTATAGTTTATAACTCTGATTCTTCTTGGTTATAATTCTGATTCTATTAGTTTATAATTCTGATTCTTCTAGATTATAATTCTGATTCTTCTAGATTATAATTCTGATTCTCCAAGGATATAATTCTGATTCTTCTAGTTTATAATTCTGATTCTTATAGTTAATAATTCTGATACTTATCGTTTATAATTCTGGTTCTTCTAGTTTATAATTATGATTCTTCTAGTTTATAATTATGATTATTATAGTTTATAATTATAATTCTTCTAGTTTATAATTATGATTCTTCTAGGTTATAATTCTGATTCTTCTAGGTTATAATTCTGATTCTTATAGTTTATAGTTCTGATTCTTCTAGGTTATAATTCTGATTTTTATAGTTTATAATTCTGATTCTTATATATTATAATTCTGATTCTTCTAGGCTATAATTTTGATTCTTCTAGTTTATAATTCTAATTCTTCTAGTTTATAATTCTGATTCTTCTAGTTTATAATTCTGATTCTTCTAGTTTATAATTCTAATTCTTCTAGTTTATAATTCTGATTCTTCTAGTTTATAATTCTTTCTTCTAGTTTATAATTCTGATTCTTCTAGTTTATAATTCTGATTCTTCTAGTTTATCTAGTTTATAATTCTGATTCTTCTAGTTTATAATTCTGATTATTATATATTATAATTCTGATACTTCTAGGTTCTGCGATCTGATTCTGATACAACATTACACTGGGCTATGACTGATCCTGTGACGAGCAGAGATGATATTGAACGCAAGTTTGGACAGTTTACTTATCAGAAGGAAACAGTTCTTTAATATTTACTCCTATTCTATACCTAGATTGTTTACTCAGATTTTATACCTAGAAAGTTTAAATTGCACCCTGCGACCGACAGGTTTCCCAAAGCTCTCGTACGTGAAGCGATCCGACTGCAACAGCAGAGAAGTAGTAACTAGGAAATAATGGAACGTTATTAATTGTTTAAGCTTATATATAATTTCAAAAGTATTCAGGACACATTTAAACAAATCTTTCCATTCCTAATTAAAAAATACTTAGCAAAATTTTACTACATAAAAACCTGTTTTTTGGTTACCACTGCAAGCACAATGGCTAAACAGAATTAATTTATTTTTGCAGACTATTTTTTTGCGATATGGAGCGCCGTCAATTAAAAAATGCCTGGATCAAAATAAAAAGATACGCTCTAAATATAGGGGTTTCCATTAAACCTCCATTGCACTGCTTTATAGTTAACTACTTGATAAGTACATTTTTTGTAAAATCTTCTTGTATCTTAACAAATAATGTTTTGTTGAGATAAAACTGCAAATGGTGTTGGAACAATATATAGTTTGTATATTACCAGGTGTCCCATTAAACTTGGGAATTAAATGAAGACAATATCGTCTTTGTTAAGAAATAGCATTGTATTATCTAATTTCAATGGTTGAAGTTTCCGTCTTCTAGAAAATATGTTTTGTAAACACACGTTAATGTCACAAGATGGGTAGCATTCACCCATGCAAGCATAGGCTAGTAGGTACAGTACGAATTCAGGCAGGGTCAATAGGGATCTGGTGCTATTAGCTTGAGACACACGCCTGTTTTATAGTTTAGATTAGCCCAAGAATGTAAGGCAAGGAAAGGCAATTGCGGTTGTGTATACTCTGTATACATATTGAAACCAGTTCTCTCTGGGCGGAATTTGTAAACAATAATAGATGCATCAGTGTTCGTTTAGTATCCGAGGATGTTAAAAGCATTAAATTTTGATAATTTTGATAATTCACATGCAAAGATAATATATATATAGATGTGCAGGCAGGTATAAATTTTGAGGTCTTGAGAAAAGGTGCAATCAGCACCATCTCTGTCGTACGCATGGCATTTTATCCTCTGGATTGTTTCTAATTTATCACTTTGTTTATGCGTGATAACACTAAATGCGTACTATAGTATCAACAATGTATACTGCATATTGTACTTAATGAAACAAATTAATCAATGCAAATAAAAAATGCCTACTCACTTGTCAATAAATGAACTGATAAATATTTAGTAATCTAAAATCCTCTTCCCTTCCCAGTCCCCCCTCTCCCTTTCCCTAATCTATTCTTGTTCTTCTATTATATAGAACTAAGCCTGCCGTTATAATGTTTCAAGGTTACCAGCCCATTTATGCAAGCCAGACATATAAGACACGTATAATAACGCAGACATTTTGTTCAGACTATTCAGAACTAGTTCAGTTAGGAACCACTAGATGTCTCAAATATATAATGTATTCATGTAATTAAATTGTTTATTTAAATCTTAGAAAGGCTTGAAGAATTTTATGCAAAGCAAAAAAGTTTTTGTTACAGGAATATTCAACATTTACTAAGTGTTTTATAGTATTATATGGTATAGTAATTATAGTATACAATACAGATTGCTTCTTATGTATCTTAAGGAAATAAATATGGCTATTGTCGACTAGTGTTAGAACAACTGGGTATGGTTTGAATTGCCTGATCCCAGGCATATACCTGTCGCGTAGTTTACAGATCATCGTATGATATTCTGTAACATTTCTACAAGATTAACAGTGAAGAGGAACAAAACAACTGTAGGTTAATTGTGTACGGGAATTGCCTAATCCCAGGCATACACCTGTCGCGTAGTTTACAGATCATCGTATGATATTCTGTGACATTTCTACAAGATTAACAGTGAAGAGGAACAAAACAACTGTAGGTTAATTGTGTACGGGAATTTCTCATTTTATTGAGTACAAATACACAATCAAAGTAAACAAATCTTACTCAAGCTTACACAACATTTACAGTTTTCCATGTAGGCACCATAGGAATAATTAAAAAAATTATTAACAAAGACGATATTAAAATCGTTACTCAAGTCCCATGGTTCACTCTGTACCATCATCGATCAATTTTTACAATTCTAAGCTATATTCCTTTTAAGGAACTTAAAATTAGGGTGGGAGTGTTATCAGAATGATGGAAGGGATTCTTGGAAAAGAAGTTTTAACAATGGTAACATATAATACTTAACTATAGGGGTCTCCACAATATAGTGAAATGCAACAAGAACTCTGGCTTTAAATGTGAGGGGGGGGGGGGAGATTGTGCGATCGAGAGTATAGTATCTTTTTTTTAGTTGAACCACAATGTTTTTGTCAAAAATATTTCTTAAAAACATGATGAAAATCCACATAGAAAATTAAACATTGGGAAAGTTTTGATTTTTTGGGATATAACCAGTTAAATTATGGTATATTCGGTTAAAGTTGCAAAATGGAAAATAGTCATTAATAAAAAAATGAACATATACTATGGCTGGTGCTTAGCGTCTATTTTCTAGTTCAACTTTTAATTACTGCCCAATTTTTCAGCAATTTCTCTTTGTAAAAAAATAGAATAAAAATTTTGCGGATTATAAAAATTTGTTTGTGGATTATCAAAATTGTTATGTAAATCAAAAAGTTTTGGAGACAACTTAAGCACACATAAATCTTTCTTTGTCCTGGTCATGTGAGGTCCTTAACAAAATTTGGGCACGATCGGTTTAGAGATGTTTTGACATTTATTGGATAAAAACAAACTGACAGACAGACAAGCAAAGTATGTATATAGATTTTTATAAGTAATCCCTGTTTTTTATGCTCCCCCAGCCTTATATTGAATATATTATCCTGTGTTATCCTTCTGTATATCTGGAGCTTATAAAGGGAATATTATATATTATATATTTATGTATACTGTTCCAGACTTCTAGGCAATATACATTAATTAATCTTTTACAGTCTAGTCTAATACATCACTAGTCATTGGCATTTTGTTTCTTTTTTAGAATGCGTTCCTGATTTTTAATGTTAACCCTATCCCTGCTGGGGTACTTGAAAACCAGGATATGCTGGGGGGGGGGTCAATTTGACCCCCCCCCCTCTAAATCCCATGTTTTATGTCCAAAAATGACAAATGATACATCATTAGAAAGCTCTTGTGCTTTACTTTTAGAATCTGCAAAAATGTGCAAATTTGCAAAAATTGAATTTTTTATCGCAAAATCCAGTTATATAGTAAAAATGTTAGCAAAAAAAATTTGTCCAGAAAATGAAAAATTATACATTTTTGAAAAGCCCTTGACCATGCCATTTCAAATATGCAAAAGTTTTTGCAAAATTTTAAATAACCAAATTTCCTTTGACAGGTTGTTTGCAAAAAATGTGCAATTTTTTTTTTCGCAAAACTTGTGCAATCCTTTTCCTTATGTCATAGGCTTTCCAGAAAGCTAAATTTTATTAAAATCTGAAAAGTGAAAGTGGTTTCAAAATAAAGATTTAGTTTGTTACAGGCAAAAGCAGTCATTCAGGCAGTGTGCCTGAGGACTCAGGCAGTTAGTATTAAAGCCCGGTTTTAGGCCTAAAGGTAGGGCTTTGGGTATGTAAGAAAAGTCAGAAAATTTCAACAGCCTCAGACCAATACTTTTTGAGTTATGTAAAAAAAACTACAGGGGGGGGTCAAATTGACCCCCCACCCCCCAGCAGGAATAGGGTTAACAATTCCAGATTGTTCTTTTACAGATTGTTCCAATATTTTGTTCTTGTTTTTAGAACAATGGCATCATTCTTGATAATTCTGATTTTCCCCTTGAAAGAACAATCATTCCTGGAGAATGACCGCCAGCCCTACAGTCTATAGGGCTGGGCATGTTTTTTTAATCTGTTTGAAAACTGCTCCATATTGCTCACTATGCCATCAGGGCACTTTGCTCTTCAAGTCGCCAAATTAATTTCTTTGATATGAAAAAAAAATTATGGTTATTTTCCGTTAACATTTTAAAAAATAAATATTGAAATTTATATGCAAGCAAAGGTTTTTAAAAACCTTCGTTATTTTTGTTCATTCTAAGCCTTTTTTTATTTTTTTATCAGCAGAACGATGTTCAGACCTAGTCTTCTACTCACTGTTTATATCAACCTTATTGTACCGGAGAAAAAATATACCATGTATGTTAATTATATATAGAAATGAATACCAGAACACTAGAATTATAGAACAAATGAGTCAGCTTGTTAAATTCAATCTATAAATAATTAATTGTATGCTTTTTTGGAATTTGCATTTGATTTAGTTTCCTTGCACCTTGTTTTTAATGGTATTTTAGGGCCTAAGTAGTTACCTGAAGGCAAATGCTTATGGTTCCACAACAGAGGATGACCTATTCAGCCATCTTGAATCAGCTGGAGTTTCAGCTGGCGTCTGGCCAGGAACCTATCAGGGATCTGGAACTTTCGGTGACATCATGAAATCATGGACAAATCAGGTTAAAGAATAGTAAAATATGGACCAATCAGGTTTAAGGAAAGTAAAAAATAAACCAATCAGAGTTGAGGAAAGTAAATATTGACCAATAAGATTTTAGATAAGTAAATTATTTACTAATCATTTAGGCATTCCATGTTTGAAATATACAAACTTCTATATTTTACACTGCCCTTTTAAATCTTTCACTTTATAGGTTAAAACCAAATATCTCGCCATCAGGCTTTCGGTGTCGTTTAGTATCCCATTAATGGCCATGTACAGTATAATGAAAGTCTGTCCCATTGTTATCAGGCATGTATGTTTGTATACAATAGAGTAAGATTAAGCTCCGTTTATGATTAAACTGAGTGTGAAACTTATGTATCTTTAATCTGTGATTTTAAGACTTAACCTTATACCTTTCCTTAGCTGGAGGATACCTGGGTCCACAATTGGCTCGAGCCGTAATTCCTTAAACCAGATGACTTTAAGACCCATCTCTGACAACAGCTTATGTCACATGATTGACAGCTTCAAGTTCTTCTTACAATAACCGACCTTGGTTGGTTTTTGTGGAGAATAAGGCTCACTGTTGAGTCTTGTTCTCATAAGAACCTGGAATGCGCCAATTTCTACCATGAAAATCCGCCAAATAAAATATTAAACCAGTTTTTCACCTCAACTCTTTGGAAAATAAGATGAAGCTTGAATCTAAAAGCTCAAATCGTAAATAAGGACCAACAACAGACCCGAGCGTATTTACCCGAGTTAAGACTTACCGTAAAAGTTAGTCCCTCAGGTATTGATTTCTATTGCTAAAGCAAAGCAATATCCAAAATAAAAGTTTTACCCTTTAATTGATTACATAGCACACCTAGTTATCCTCTTGTAACCTTGTTATTGTATAGAATACCTGATGTAACCTTGTTATTGTAGGCTGGATATCCTCTTGTAACCTTGTTTTTGTATAGGATAGATATCCTCTTGTAACCTTGTTATTGTAGGCTGGATATCCTCTTGTAACCTTGTTATTGTATAGGATAGATATTCTCTTGTAACCTTGCTATTGTATAGGATAGATATCCTCTTGTAACCTTGTAATTGTATAGGATAGATATCCTCTTGTAACCTTGTTATTGTATAGGATAGATATCCTCTTGTAACCTTGTTATTGTATAGGATAGATATCCTCTTGTAACCTTGTTATTGTAGGCTGGATATCCTCTTGTAACAGCAGTTACAGAATGTCCAGAAGGCTTGGATGGCTCATGCCAGTTAAGGCTCAGGTGTTAAGTAATTTATTTCAAAATTTTTAATGGTGGACGAATAAATTCAGTCACAGTCACTCAAAGCTGTTCGAAAAAACTTCCGAAATGCTGCAACCAAGTCTTTGTCGCAAATTCAAATTTTGCAAACCTTATATCATTGCAACCTGATGATGTAAACCTTTTAAATTTCAAACTTTGATCATTAAATCGAGCAGAATTATTTAAGGTATAACGATGTTGTCTAATTTTAATGCCACCTTTTTTTTAAATTCTAAAAAAGGCAATAAAAAAAAGAAATTTTAGTGATATCAGTTTATATATATTATTATTTTATTTATATATCTATTATAAAAGTGTCAGAAAAATAGTTTGTAAAGTTGTTAACTAATTTTTTTTAAGTCAAGAGTGGTTTGTCACTAAAGGAGATACAAACGGTGAAAAAAGGTAAAAAAAATCATAACTTAAAGGGACAGAACGCAGAAAAAATCTGCAGAAAACATTTGTGAATAATCAGAGATTATAGTAATTAATAATTGAATAAGATTACTTATTTTCGATGATAAGATTAATTTTTATTTTCTCAACCTGTTCCTAAACAACTAATTAGCTTACTGTAGAATTTTGTCATTGTTATCTTAAAATTAAAAGAAGAACCATTCTGAATACGTATCCACCCAAAAGTACGATTTTGAACGTCGACTTTGCGCCTAAACTCAGGATTTACAGATCTTTAAAAAGT